CCTTCTTTCAGAAAAAAACAAAAAACAAAACTATATTCTGTCTAATAAAGACAGTAATGCAGCTTAGCAAGTACACCAGTTGAGACAAAAAAGACCAAGCATCTCAATAAGACTGTTATTTAAAAAATGACCAAGCATATTGATTCAGCCCCCTGTACTTAGATGTAGGTCTTCCCATTCCCTCAAGAGTGGTTTTCTGGGGAAAGTGTATATATGAATGATTAAGGTTGCTTCCTATACATTGTCAGTTACCACAAAACTTTTTTATATGCCTTTTACAGTGAGGGGAAGGAGAGATTAATCTGCCATAGATTATAGAGACAATGCTAGAATTTCAACTCAGATGCATCAGTCCAAAGCCTACTTTTGCCACTAAGCTTTTGCTTTCAAAACTGAAAATGTTAGGGCCTGTGGCAGGTATTTGAAAGGGAATCCCAATGTGAGTTCATAAATAGATACTGAATTAGCTAATTTTATGATTATGAAATTGGTAACAGTTTTCTCAGTAAGTTCTACTGGTAGTTAAATTGAATGACGACCATACAACCTTATTTGAAACTCTGGACGGAGTTAATGGCTTAACTCTGGACGGACTTATGCTGCTGTTGTTGTTATGTGCCGTGGAGTCGGACCCAACTCATAGCGACCCCCTCCTTGGGTTTCTGAGGCAGTATCACTACGGAAGTAGATTGCCCCATCTTCCTTCCGAGGAGTGGCTGGTGGGTATAAACCGCTAGCCTTCTGGTTATCAGTCAAGTGCCTTAGGCACTAAGCTACCAGTAGTAGTATTTGACTTAGAAGATTTGATGCCTCAGATACTGTACAAGTGAATAGCTGTTAGTCTTTTAAAAGATGAAGTGATAGATTAAAGGACCTGCAGGGGTCTATTTTTTAAAGTTCTAAAAATTGAGGTAAAATTTACAGTGAAATGCACAGATGTTCAGTTGGATGAGTTTTGACAAATGCATAAACTCATGTAACTCAGACCTCCCTCCAATCTATCCAGCTTATTTTTTGCCCCCAGAAAGTTTGCTGTCCTCTTTTTCTGAGCATGTCCCACCAGAGGCCACCACTGTGCTGTGATTTCTGTCACTATAGATTAGTTGTGTCTGGTAAATGGTATCTTATGCATAAAGAAAAGCAAATGGTAAAACTGCATTACAGTGTGCTCAAAAATAAGTATAGCTGTTGAAGTGGAACTCTATCCTTTCATGTTTAAGACAACTTTAACACTTGCAGAGTATTTTTAAAAATGTTTCTTTTGTGTGTCCTTGGATGGCACAAATTGTTAAAGCGCTAGCTAGCTGATGACTAGCCAAAAGGTTGGTGGTTTGAACCTACCCAGAAGTGTCTTGGAAGACTGTCTACTTGGATAAGCTCACAGATCTGTGGAGCAGTTTTATTCTGCATTTATGGGGTCGTCATGAGAGGGAACCATTCCCTGGAGAAGGATGTCATGCTTGGTAAGGTGGAGGGTCGACGAAAGAGGGGAAGGCCTTCGACGAGATGGATCGACACAGTGGCTGCGACAATGGGGTCAAGTATAGCAAGGATCATTGAGCTGGCGCTGGATCGGCGGTGTTTCGTTCTGCTGTGCATGGGGTCGCTATGAGTCTGAAGCGACTCAACGGCACCTAACAACAACATGAGTCCCAGTTGATTCAATGGCAACCATCAAGTTATTTTTAATTAAACAACCAAATCTGGCTTCAGGTAAAGAAAAATGTATATGTATTTTACCTGAACTATTTTCCTTTGAAAAATGACATTTGGAAAATCAAGTTTATAACCCACACATTATGCCATTTCAGTGCCTGATTTTTGTGGGCTCCCAGAAACTGTGACTTTGGGGAGGAGAGACTGAAATGTTGGGAGCAACTCTAAGCTCTTAAAACCTCGGTACCGGTGTGTGTGTGTGGAATGGTCTGCGTGTGGCAGTGCTGTCCCTCACCCCGCCTGTCTCTGGAGCTGCGCACGTTTCCTGCCGGTTTCCTGTCCAGCGGGTGTCAAGCCTGGGGCAGGCAAGAAAGGATGCGCTGCCCAGAAGGGGCGGGCGGGCAGACCTCGCCCGGCGTCTGCAGTGCCCCCCGCCCTTCCCGCGTCGTCGAGGGCGGGCCTGGACCGGGCGGCGGGAGGCGCGCGCGGCCGCCAAGGGCGCACAGTCCGGGAACGAGTGACGCTCGGCGCGCTTCCTTACCGCCGCTGACGCCTCCGCTCCGCGCCGCGCGCTTGCAGGATTCCAGAGGTAAGGAGAGGTCTGCTGGATCCTGCTGCCTCGCCGCATCCTGGAGGCGCAGACTGGAGGGTGGCGTTCTCACGCCCCTGGGGGACAAGCTTTAAAAAAATTGTGTACGCGTTCCGGAATTCCGACTTTCACCTGACTGCGGCTTTTCTCTCGCGCGGGTTTTGCCTAGCGAGTGAAGCTGACCGAAGAGGGGTATTGAGTGAGAATTGCTGGTGCTCTGGAAAAACCGCGTCTCGGGATATTAAGCGTTGAAGAATACGTTTGTTTTCTCTTGTAAGCAAATCCTTTGTGAAGGGATTTCGTCTCAAACGGTACAACTTTAAGAGGTCTTTATACTGAAGACACGGACCAGGCTAGATTTCCAAGCGTGAACCTGACTTGAGGGCCTTTCGAAGGCTGAGTATATGCGGCGCGCGCTGAGCTTCCCAGGGAAGCGGCAAATCCAGGGACCAGGGACCAGGGTGAGCAAATTCGACGGGATATAGACGTGAAGGATGTTTTAGAATTAGGAATATTCTCCTAATAAATATTTTATATGTGTATGCATACGGGCATGTGCATGTTTGTCAGAAGGGACAAAAGCACTTTGGTTCTTTATGATTTTTACCCTTTTTGACAGGTCATTGGTTCCATGGACATACTGAAGCATTTATGTTAGCTGGTTTCAGCAAAAATGTGGGATCTGAGCTGAGTGTGTTGCAGTTGACCATTGACAGTATTCACAGCGTTCCGTCACGCTCTTAGTCGATACATTTAGGATTTTTCTGTTGTTTATGTATATGAATGCTGTATAGAAATATTCTTAGGTATGTACAATATATACCTAAATTCCCTTTTTCTTAAAACGATTCTCAAGCCAAATATTGTAACTATCCATTTGTGGTATCGGGGAACAACAATTTGGAAGAAAATGAGCAAGGTTAAAAAAAAAAAAAAGGTTAAAAAGGCATGATACCTTTAAAAAATAAAAATTACTTCTGTTTACTCACATTTTATTCCATTCTGGGGGTGCCCTGCTAACTTCTTCAAATTAGTGATTGAGCTAGTAAAAATTACGCATTTGCTATTGAAAGTCTGAGAACTTTTTTTTAGACCTGTATTTTTGTTTATACATGGCAAGTTGGTTTATTTAATAATTTTATTTCCATTCAACTTATAAAGTACTACAAATGTAAATTAACACACAATTTTCTTTTCTAGTGGTCATTTTCTTACAGAAGGAAAATGTATAACCACACAACTAATTATAATTAGGGGTTTTAAAAAGTGGTTATCATGAGGCAGCAAGCAACTTGGGAGAAGCCAGTTCGGCTTTTGGGAGTTAGGGATCACTCACTTCTTTTCATGATTTCAGTTATTGAGTATCACTGAATATAAAGGAAGCATTTCAATTGCTCTAAGTGTCCACACATAAATACGATGATGTTTTCTGCAAGGACTTCACCAGTCTTTATCCTGATTTCCCTGTCCATGTACAGGGAAAGGATTGGTTCAAATCGATGGTTAATTTCAGCAAAATTGAATGTGTGTGTGTGTTAGATATGTCAAGCAGAGCACTAATTGTCTGCATAATTGCACTTAAAATCTCTGCTTCCCTTTGAGGAAGTACAGTATTTCCTTTGTTGAATCAACTCTTAGTGAAAGAAAGCTAATAGAGAAACACCAGTTTCCTTTTTACTGAATTTTGGATTATTTCAGTCAGTCTCTTAATTCTATTAATTCTGATCTTATCTGAAGGGATGAAATATATATTCAGAAAATAATATACTTATTAAAAATAAATTAACTCTGGACAATGGAAATGTAAACATTAAGCAAATACATATTTGGTTATGTTTAGTAGCCCATTGTCTACTAGGCTCTAATATGAAAAAACTGGCTTAAATGTCCTACATCTTATTCTATAGTCTAATAGACTGTTTATATAAAATAAATATAAAAATCACTCAACTACAGGCTGCCAAGGTCTCCTCTGCCCTTCTAGGTGGTCTGAGAAGATTGCTGCATGAATCATCTCTCTTCCTATGCACACCAGCAGCAACAGGTATTGGATGACTGACAAAAGATGATAATTATTATTTATCTGTCTTTTCTTTAGACTGTTCTAAAGAAGGGAAGCCAGGGCCACATGGAGTTCACATTTAATTGTAATGCTCTAGGCATTTCTTTCTTTTCTTTTTTTTTTTTTTTAAGGTTTGATTATTTTTATGTAAGCATGATGAAAGGAAGCAGACCAGATAATATACCAATTATGCAGGGAAGGCTTAGTGTGTAGCCTAGCAAGGCAGGGAAGTTTTGGGCTATACAACATAATGTGAAATCAAAGTTCTGCAAAAAATTTAATAATTGATCAGTATGGAATTCTGAACATAAATTATGTGAAAATGTGTAATTCACATTGGGTATTAGCTTTGATTAAATTAAGCAAATAACACACTCTTCACTAAGAATGCACTAAAGCTTGGTGTTCTGCACAGATAATCTTAGTGTTGGGCTACTTTCTGAATGTTCTTAACAAGTGAACTATAATGGAATGAAAGGGATGTGTGATTGCAGAACATTTTCCCAGGGAAAATTAATGTCCTCCCTGTTTTCCTTTCAGTATACCCTAGGAAATTTAAATTCTTAAAATGATTTTGTCATTTAATTATTACTATTTTATGAGTCGGGGCCAACTCGACGGCACATAACAACAACAACAACAATTTTGTGAATAACATTGAAAAGAGCCATCTTTTTCTGAAGTTCTTATTTCAGGTGTTCTTGGAAAAAATTTGTGATTTGGATGTGAGAAAGGACATGAGGAGATCAAAGACCTGGGATTTTGCTGATCAGAATGAAACAAATGTTGAAAGACTTTTCAAATCTGTTGTTGGTGGTACTCTGTGACTATGGTGAGTATTGTGAGCATACTTAATGCTGTGTTGTTGTTGTTCATTGCCATTGAGTTGATTCCAACTTATGATGATCCCACATATTACAGAGTAGACCTGTTCCATAGGGTTTTCTTGGCTGTAATTTTAACAGAAGCAGATCATCAGGCCTGTCTTCCACTAGGTAGGTTCAAACTGTCAACCAGTCATCATTAGGTTAGCAGTAGAGTGCAAACAATTTGCGCCACTTAGGATCCTATAGATATCAATGTTGTTGTTGGTAGGTGCCTCTCAAAAAAAAAAAAAAACACAAAAAACCAAACTCACTGCCATTGAGTCGTTTCCGACTCATAGCAACCCCCATTGAGTTTCTGAGGCTGTAAATCTTTACAGAAGTAGATTGCCCAGTCTTCCTTTCATGGAGCAGCTGGTGGATTTGAACCACTGACCTTCTGGTTAGCAGTCGGTTCTAACTCATAGCAACCCCATGTACAACAGAATGAAACATTGTCTGGTCCTGTGCTGTCCTCACAATCCTTGCTTTGTTTGAGCCCATAAAGAAACATAAATGTGAGATTTATAAATATATTGATGTTGATAACCTTTCACGAAGGAGGTAGGGTAGGGTCTGTTGTGAGTTCGTTTTCCACTGTGATCCTGGCAACCTTGGGTTCTTTCAAGGTTCTTCAGGGATTCTGCATACTTGATTCAGATTTCATTTTAAATATACTATAGAAGAAGGCTGGCTGTTCAAATCCACCAGCCACTCCTTGAAAGAAAGGTTGGGCAATCTACTTCCGTAGTGATACTGCCTCGGCAACCCAAGGAGGGATGCTATGAGTCAGGTCCGACTCGACGGCACAGAACAACAACAATAGAGTAATAATAACTCCCATTTTAGGAAACTGGAGATAAGCATGTTTATTGAGTTCTCTTTGATTGGTTTCCCAGTAATTCAGTGTTATAAATTTAAACTTCACACACTCTCACAAATGATATTTTACCTATTGCGGGTTTATGTAAGATTTCACTTGACAGGAGAGTTTTGCTGCTAGAACATCATTGGAACCAATCAGATTTTATGAATAACATACTTTTTTTAATAACATTTTTATGAATAACTTTTTTCATAATGCCAGTTGTGTATCCTTAGGTAAGTTTCTTAATCTCTTTCAATCTCAGTAATAATACTGACTTCACAGGATTGTTGATATTATAAAATAAAATCAAGGATGTGAAGCACCTTGAATGTCTGAGCATGTACAAAACCAGTTGCTTTCAAGGTGACTCCAACTCTGGCGACCACATGTGTGTCAGAGTAGAACTGTGCTCCCTAAGGTTTTTCGATGGGTGATTATTTGGAAGCAGATCACCAGACCTTCCTGCTGAGGCTTCTCTGGCTGGAGTTGAACTGCCAACCAAAGCAACACCCAAGCATGCGAGTCTGAGCACATAGTAAGTGCCTAATGTGAGTTTTCTTCAGTTTGTTCCACCCAAAAACTCAATTTGCTTTTAAGTTTTATGTAGCCTCTGAACTACTAGATTCAACAATATGACATAAAATTCAGTGCTTTTCTTTTGATGATTTCCAAATATGTCATAGATATTCAAGCATTTGATGGTGTGGGAGTGGAAGTTATTTTCACATTTGATGAAGAAAATGTCATCTAAGATATAAAGATACAGAGAATCCTGACTTGTGAGATACCAGCCAGTGAAATGAGCCAGGACATATGCTGTTCATTTTATCCAGTAGCTCACCTTCTTAAGTCAATTTTATTTTTTAAGAAAATGTGTACTTAAGACATCTGAATTAAGAAAAACGAATCTGGGACTCATTTCTTTTAAAGCTTAGCTTTGAACTGACTCATTCCAGTTCTACTTCCTGCTGAGAATTTCCATTTTCATCCCAGAAACGCTGAATCAGAATCAACATTTTAACAAGATCCCCAGCTGATTCTAACTAATGCCCTGTTTTAAAGTCATCTATCCCTGCTTAGAGTCTGTAAGTCATAGTCTATTTGATGGCAGTGGGTTTGGTTGATTCCACTCTGTGCATAACAGTCGCGTGCAAAAACTTACGTTAGTGTCCTTGGTTTCACAATGATAAATAAAAACATCCGAATTCTCCAATTAAAGCACGCAAGGATGTTTTGTTGTTGTTAAGAGAAAAATATCTTACTGAAATATAAAAATGAAAATGAGCATAGACTACACATAACACTAATGGAAAGGGTATTCTCACAGGTCTGTTTTTTTTCCCCATTTATAAAGAGATACTTGTTGTTGTTATGTGCCATCAAGTCGGCCCCGACTCATAGTCCCCTTCTTGGATTTTCAAGGCAGTATCACTACGGATAGTAGATTGCCCCATCTTCCTTCCGAGGAGTGGCTGGTGGGTTTGAACCTTAGCCACTATGCTACCAGATCTCCTAGTTACTTTAAATACAATAAACGCATGTACTGCCGTCGAGTCGATTTCGACTCATAGTGACCCCTCCTTGGGTTTTTGAGGCAGTATCAGGACGGAAGTAGATTACCCAGACTTCCTTCTGAGGAGTGGCTGCTGGATTTGAAATGCCAGCCTTCTGGTTAGCAGTCAAATGCCTTAGGCACTATGCTACCAGAGCTACTTAATACAATAAAGGAATGGGAAAATAAAAGAATGAATAAATAAATAAATAAATAAATAAATATATATATATATATATATATATATATATATATATATATATATATATATAGTAGTAGTCAGGATGTAGTGGGAGTAAATTGTAGTTTTCTAAATGAGAATGTATTCTTGTCTGTAGGAACAATTCAAGGGTAATATAGCTAGTTCTCTCTTTAGTATGTGCCTCCTATCTGCTATAACTGGAACTTACCAGTTGTATTTTTATTCTCTGTTTCCAACTGGGTATATGTGTCTCTTTCATTGATTTGCTACTTATCAGATCAGAATCTGATCTGTCTCATTCACAGTCCTGTTATTCACAGTAGACTTTCATTAGTTTACTATGTGGTATATTAAGATGCATCACAGAACCATTGTGCCTGCTTTTATCAGATTCAGATTAATATGATCATTATTCTCAGTCTTAATTCCTTCCTTTGGCTGTAATCCTTTTACCCATGAGTTCACGAAAGGGGCACTGGGTCTACTCTGAACCAGTGCTCAAGCTGCATAAATAGCCACCACCCTCAGCCTTGAATAGTATCCATCTAAAAGGGAATACCGCTCAACTTCTGTTTTGCCTAGAGCTGTAATCAAGAATTAGATCTACCCAAGTTTTATGTATTTTGTTTCACCACATCTTAAATAAGAAATGGGTAAAGTCCTGAGCTAATTAAAGAAAACACCCCTATGTACTAATAATATCTTTATGTGCTAATTCTAATAATCATTGAATACATATAAGGGTATATTTAAAGACTTACAGCCCAAACAAAGCACATATTGAGACCCTTTGGAGAGAGAGAGAAAATATAATGTCATGAATAGATATATATAAAGAATAATAAATTCATGCATACACACACATTTTTTTCTCAAACCAAAAGGGCACTGTAGCTCCCAAAATCTAGAATTGTTTCTGACCCTAGCTATGGGCTGACTGATGCATTGCCAAATTCTTTCTCCTTTATATATATTTGGGTGGATTCAAAATAGAAACAAGGATCCTTGTGTGTCTGTGTTCTTCCCACTCTTCACTTCAGCTGCTCTGATGGGTCTCTTTTAAAATGATACACTTCATTCCAACTGAATGATACTCAGGAGGCTAGTATTCATCTATCCTTTAGAGGCCAAAACCGGTTATGGAAATGTCATTAAAATTGCCAAGGACAAGACTTAAATAAGAAATTTCATAAACATTCACATCTACAAGAGCTGCCACTCTATCTTTAGATGACCTATGTAGAACAAAGTGTCAGCATCGCTTCCCCATCTAAAAATTACTGCCTCATACAGACTAATGAGCACTGTTTCCTTTAATAGTACAAATTCCCAAGTACTTGTCTTAAATATCAGAAAATAATAACTTTGAAGTAAATTTAGGGACTTGCATTTTAAGTGGCTTAGAGCAGTTTGTATTATATTATTTAAGTCAAGCCTTCTCTCACTTTACTACATATCCATTTTCCCCAAATACTTAAAGATTAAAATATGATTAAAATGAGAAATGTGAAGTATAGACACCTAAGAGATGACAGTTGTCAATTATTATGCTTTCTTTATAGATTTCATATTACATTTTAAATGTTGTGAACTCAGAGTATTTGTAACTAATTATTTTAAATATAACCATGAAAGATGAAGGTGAAGGACATAGCCACTTTAAGATGAAAACACAGCAATGCCAAGATCCTAGGATCTGTACTCTGCTTTATTTTATATCATCCATGGCTCAGTTTAGACTTATCTTGTGTCTAAAATGTCACAAATCTCACCAATGTTGTTGTTACTAGCTGCTGTTGAGTCAACCCCAACTCATGGCAACGCCGTGCATTACAGAGTAGAACTGCTCCATAGGGTTTTCTTGGCTGTAATCTTTATGAAAGCAGATCACTAGGCCTTTCTTCTGTGGAGCTGCTGGGTAGGTTTGAACTGCCAATCTTTAGGTTAGCGGTGCGGGCAAACTGCTGTTACCACCGGGATTCCTTAATGTCACCAGGAGTGCTGCTCACTTACTCCTTTTTAAAACTAATTCTGACCATTTCATTTCAGTTCTTGGAGAAGCTGAATATATACTCTTGGGAGAGCCAGGCCATGTAGCACTAAGCAACAACACAGTGTCTGTGCATTTTCAGCATTTTGATGGTGCTAATTGGACATTGAGGAATGTATCTGTCTTGCTGTTGGAAGCCAACACCAACAAGACTATTGCCACCAAATACCTTCTGACCAACCAGTCGCAGGGAACATTTGAGTTTGAGTGTTTCTACTTCAAGGAGGCTGGTGACTACTGGTTCATGATGAGTTCAGAAGCAGTGGACAATAGCACTACAGTCCTTTGGTGGAAAAAAAGTACGTTTCTGAAGGTGGAGTGGCCCATCTTTCACTTTGACTTAAATAGGACCTCCAGTGCAGCAGAAGGCATCTTTCAGGTGGGCTTTTTCACCAGTCAGCCACTGTGCTCATTCCCTGTGGATAAGCCCGACATCTTGGTGGATATCATCTTTACCAACAGTCTTCCTGAAACAAGAACAAGTCAGGGACAGCCCCTGGAAATAAGAACCAGCAAAAGGACAGAACTCTGTCAAGGTCAGTGGGTTGAGTTTGGCTGTGCACCTGTGGGGCCAGAAGCCTATGTCACTGTGGTACTGAAACTGCTTGGCAGAGACTCGGTCATTACCTCAACAGGACCCATTGACCTGGCCCAGAAATTCGGATACAAACTGGTGATGGTGCCAGAACTGATGTGTGAGTCCGTGGTGGAAGTGATGGTGGTGCCTCCACCTTGCATTTTTGTCCAAGGAGTAATTGCTGTCTTCAAGGAGGCCCCCAGACTCCCTGGGGAAGGGGCAGTTTGGCTGGCTGAAAACACCCTAAACCTGGGAGAGAGGAGGACAGTATTTAACTGCAGTCTGTTTGATATGGGAAAGAATAAATACTGCTTTGACTTTGGCATTTCAAGCAGAAGCCATTTTTCCACAAAAGACAAGGAGTGCATGCTAATTCAGAGAAATATAGGTTGGTATTGAGTTTTTTTTTTTTTTTAAATTTACCAAATTGGTGCCTTCATATAATCAAAATTATTATTTAGAATTTGGATGGACTTAATTTTCTATGAACTGTACCATTAGTTTTGTGGCTCACTCTTCATTATGTCCTAATTGGCATTATCATCCTTATCTGAAAAATTAAGAGGCAAAGCTTGCCACTGATACAATCTTTCTGGATCTCAGTTTCTTCATGACTAAAATGGAGATAATAAAAGTACCTACTTAATAAAGGATTGAATAAAATAAAATGTGTAAAATTCTTAACATAGTGCCTGGTATATAGGAAGCACTCAGTAAAATTTAGTTGTTATTATGTTATATTTCAACATTATGTTATTTTATCACATGGCAAGTCCATGGCAGGTATGATCAGAATCTAAAGCTAAATCCCAAATTGGAGTTTAGCTTGTTTGGGTTTAGTCACTTCTGGCTTCCTCTAGCTGAGCATGTCTCTTTCCTTTTCAGTTGTTCATTATGGAAATGAAGATCTTTAGTGAGATTTCAAGGAAAAGCAAATTCACTGCTTTCTTGTCGGTTTGGAATCATAGTGGAAACCCACCTTGGGTTTCCAAGGCTATAAACCTTTACAGAAGCAGACTGCATCATCTTTCTTCCACGGAGCAGCTGGTAGGCTTGAACCACTGACCTTTTGCTTAGCAGCCAAATGCCTTAACCACTATAACACCAGAGCTCCTTTTCAAAGAAAATCTTTCTAAACAGTTCTTCAAGTTCTGTGTTCTTTGTGTCATGCCCTATCTCATCAAAAAGAGGAGTCCCTGGGTGGTATAATGATTAATGCATTGAGCTATTAACTGAAGGTTGGTGGTTCGAGGCTACTCAGATGTGCCTTGGAAGAAAGGCCTGGCAATCTACTTCCAAAAAATCAGCCATTGAAAACCCCATGGAGCACAGTTCTACTCTGACACAGACGAGGTTGCCATGAGTTGGGGTTGACACAATGGCAGCTGTGATTTTAATCACAAAGAAGTGCAGTTATTACAATTTCATCCATCCCAGAGTTCTCTTTGCATATGCTTCCATTTTAATGAGTTCAGGCCTGGGTGCAAGCCAGTGGCTTAATTTGACAGAGACTGTCTCATTCCCTTACATGCTCTTCTCATCTTCCACTCCCCTTCCTTCAGCCCCAGTAAGCCCAGTGTCCCCTTACTGTCCCAAGTCTCTGACTAATTTTGTCTGTAACCTTAAGTGTTTCTTGATCTAAATCTACCCACTTCTCCTTAGAAGTTGCTTTCCTTCAGCTTTCTTCCTTCAACTTGTGCTCCTATTATCCACGGAGTTCTTTCAGACCTCTGCTCTCAGACTTCAGCCCCTGCTTCCTGTTTAGCTCTCAGAGTTGACCTAGCCTCCTACGACACAGCAGTTGGAAGCCATCAGGTGGCAGCTCCCTCAGCCCCCCACCAAAATCTTCACCTCTACATGCATCGGACCATCTTCTCCTTCCCTGTTATCATGAAAGAGGCATTGTTCCTCTCATGTAAAGTCAGCTCTCCGTCTTTACTGTGGATTTCACCTCCTTCATTCATTACAGGAACCTTCTGTTAATCAGTGTTTTCTCTCTCTCCTGTCTTTAACTGGCCTTTCTATATTGGGTTATTCCCATCAGCATTGAAATATACTTATTTTATCTCCCGAAGCCCTATGTTCTGTCCCAAGTATCACTTTCTCTTTTTCTTTTTATAGCCCAGTTTCTTGGAAAAGTTGTCTAAACTTTGTGGCTTCTACTCCATACTCCTACCCTGAAAATGGTCTCACTTGAAACAGCCAGTTTCCAAAATCCAGGAACACTTTCAGTCCTCATCTTCATAGATACTTCCTCCTCTAGACAGAGTCACTCCTTGGTTCCTTGGCACCACACTCACCTTGTTCACCTGCCTCTCTGACAGTTCCTTCATGGTCTTCTTGGCCTGCCAGTTCCACTGTGTCTCTGCCCTTAAGTGTTGGTCTTTGTCTTCATATAGTACTACATCCTCTTCCCTTTTTCACACACTTGCTGGGTGATTTCATTTACACCCCTGTGTTGATGCTGATGACTCTAGGTGCATATTTTCCTAGTTCTTCCCCTTTATCCAAGTGCTGCTTGATACCTTTCACCTCTAAGGCATCTCCCAGGCCCTCAAATGCAACCTCTCTGGAATTGGATTCCTCACCTTACCTCCTAAACCTTGTCCTCAGCATATGACTCCACCACGCATCTTGTTCAAACTCTTCTCCTTCGCCTCCTATCGACACTGAATCATTACAATAAGTCAGTAACAAATCATTAAGTTCTGTAGATTTTATCTCCTTAGTGTTAGAATTTCTTTTTCTTCAGTTCCACTGACACCATTTGGTTTAAGCCTTCATCATCCTTTACTTGGATTCTTTCAACAGATTCCTATTGATTCTCCTCTCTCTGCTCTGTTCTGTCTTAGTTCTTTAGTCCTACTATAACAATACCACAAGTGGAAGGCTTTTAACAAGCTAATTTATTCTCTCACAGTTTAGGAGGTTAGAAGTCTGAATTCAGAGCATGGACTTTAGGGGAAGGTATTCTCTCTTTATTGGCTATAGAGAAAGGTCCTTATCTTTTCAGTTTCTGCTTCCTTGGAGATCTTGTGTCTTTTTTTATTTCTTCCCCATGTTTTTTTTTTTTAAAAGTAAATAAGGTTTATTTATTTATTTATTTTTGCAGTGTTTCCTCCCCTCCCCTGTCACCCCTGGTAACCAACAAACTCCTTGTATCTTGACATCTGTTTTATTCCATCTATCTCTGCTCACAATTTTAATCTCTTTTTGTATTTCAAAAGATTGACTTAAGATACACATTGTACTAATCCTGTCTCATTACAAAGACGACCTATTTGCAAATTGTAACTATAGGCACAAAGGTTAGGATTTACAACACATATTTTTGGAGGATATAATTCAATCCATAGCACTATCATTCCAGCCAGAGGGGTTGCATAAAAATCGGGTCTGCTCATGTTAGTCACCTGCTGCAAACCTTTCAGTTACCTCACTTGACAGGAGGATAAGAATCTACAACCTCACCTTGACTCCAAGGCCTCCATTGTTAGGCCGCCCTCCTCACAGACATTATTATCTCTGGGCTCAGACCTGAACAGTCTTCCTCCACCTTCACCTCCAGTCTCCACTGAATGACTCTTCCTGACCCCAAGCTGGTTAAATTCCCATTGCTGTAAGCTGGCATGGCATAAGGCTGTACATAAAAACCAAAAGAACCAACCCACTGCCATTGGGTCGATTCCAACTCATAGTGACCCCTTTCAAGTTTCCAAGGCTGTAAAACATTATGGAAGTAGATTGCCTCATCTTCCTCCTGTGGAGCATCTGGTGGATTTGAACCACCTACCTTTTGGTTAGCAGACAAATGCCTGATTGCCTAATTTTATTCCTTTCCCCCTCATTGCAGAAGTTCATTTGGTGGCTAACTCTGACTTGTGCTGCCAGGAAGCTATGTTATTTATTTATTTAAAACTTTTTCATTGTAGTTAGGGTGAAATTTTATAAAGCAGATTTGTTTTATATGTAACAGTTCATATACATTTTATTTTGTGACACTGGTTACATTCCCAGGAGTGTAACATCTCACCTCCCACTTCCTTCCCTATGGTTACCCTTTCCTTGTGTCTTGCCTCCCTACCTTTCTCCCTGTGCAAATGCTGCCCTTCTGATCTCCCATGGTTGATTGTTCTAAGCAGTGCATTTCCCTGGTGTAAGTGTTGAACTTGCAGGTCTGTCTGTTGTATGGCTGAGAGTTAAACCCCAGGAGTGAGTTCAATTTTAGGCCCAAAGGGTGAAGCTATTTTAGTTTTCGTTTGTCCCATTTAGTATTCTTAGCACATTAATGGGTACTCTGTAACTGTTTATTAAATTGAAATTTGAATGGAGTTGTGTCTAGTCTTGGCTAAGTGTTAGTAGAAAAACAATTTAAGTGAACTAATTTAATCACCCAAGCTATGCTTGACTTTTTATAAGAAGATACTTGTTATAGGGGAAAAATTCTAATAGACTGAATTTAATGGAAACTAATCCAGGAAGTAAAGATATTCAGGCTATTTGATTAGAGACATTTGGGGACAGGAGGTCACCTTGTTCTCAAGTTGCTGGACTTTCCACAGATTGTTCTAAAGACTGGATTCCGCGCCTCCCCCCCCCCCCCCCCCCCAGCAGCTTGTGAGGCAAACAGCAGGGAAAAAGATACTGGAAAGGGGAACAACAGTGAGTTGTTTTTGTGCCCCGATTGAGAGTAGTCTGGGGGCTACTTATGGGGCTGTTCATACAGCAGCAACTAGACACAGCCAAAAAGATAACCTAGAGAAGCTAAACCTCCTGGAGACCCCAGATTGTTACAGGCTCTGACTGCTAAGCTGACAAATATATGTTTGCGATACTTTAGTGCTTTCCTGTTTTTTTTTTGTATGTAAGTTTATGACAGAACTCTTCTTTTGATTTTCCATTTAAATTGACAGCTCTGACCAGTAGAGTTGGTTTCTTTGCCAAATGGCATCATTCAGAGATCCCACTGAGCCACTATGACTTTTGGGAGTCACTGACTCACTCTGAATTTCTCATTAGTTCTGAAAATGAGATAATTTGGTTTTTGTATTTGTCTCTTTTCTAAATATGTCTTAGGACCTTGAGACTGAAAAACAGTTGAGTCGGGTATCATAGTGACTATGTAAATAACACTTTACAGCAGAGTTATTATAAATGTTGCAAAAAATGACTACTTATGTTTTTTCTTTATTCTATTTATTCTATTTGTATTTTTTTCTGCAGAAATGTTAATGTGTTTGATTATAGGGTGCTGCCTGAGATCTTGCTTGGGGGAATATTAGTAATGTATGATACAGGCGTTGTAATAACTTTCAAAAATCTAAAAAATTCTAAATTCTGAACAGTTCCGCTCTAAGGGTTTCATATAAGGGCTATACATATTTTATC